ACATAAACTGACCCCTTGAAAATAAGGGGGAAAGCTGCTGTTTTCCCCAGCATATTCCAAAAGAAAAAAAAATGGTAATGGGCTTGTGTTTTTTTGGTGTTTGCTCTTTTAAATCTCAGTGTTAGTAGTAAATTGCTTTAAGCAAATCACTTAACTCCCATCCCTGCTCTGTTTTCTCATCTGTGAAGTGTAGATGCAACACTCAAAGGATCCCAGAATGTTTGGAAAATGCAAATCTTCTGTAAACTGTAAACCACCAATGTTGAGGCAAAGCATCTAAACTAGAAAGTCACAGAAATCTAGGCATTCAGGAGCTTGATATTCACCTTACTAGTAAGTGTAGACTCCAAACTTCTTTCGAGTCAGCTTTAAGTAAAAATCATTATCTAGTGTTCTCAGGTGGCTAGTGAGACTTGTTCTTTTATGCCAAGAGTTAAAAATGGTTTGAAAAATTATTTTGATAATCGATGTTCTAGCAGTGTTGTCTGTTGATAAAATTTATCAAATAACTCCTGTACAAAATTTAATTTTGACTTTTGGTTTGCCATAAAATGTAAAGCGAGAGATCTTTATCCTTCTACTTCTATCTTACTGGTTAGGAAGTGGCAGTTCAGACAGTCATAGGTCAGGAAAACCTAAACTTCTGTCTTCTGTGAGGTAGAGAAGATGCAGGAGTTGCAGGGTATTCGTTCTGGAGCAATAGGTAACTCTTCTTTTTAAATAGCTCCAGAGAAGTTGCAGCCAACAATTCTTAACCTGCTTGTTTCTTACAGACCCCTCCAAGATCATGAATTTATACTGATACTTCCATCTAAAATTGAACATATATATCTCAAGTTAGAAAGCTAAGAAGAATGGCAAATATTGCCTCTCTAGAATGAAAAACACACAGTCACATTTTTAAAATAGTTTGATGTGACCAAATGATAGATTCTTGTCTGTATTGTGTCTCTAGTCTCTTCTAGAGGCTTAATATTTTTTGTTTTGTTTTTAAGAACTGTGGAAACTAAAGTCAGCTGATCTTTAAAGGGGTTTCACTTTGTCCTTTGAACTTGAAAATACGCAGAATGGATTCTGAGAGATTCCATTAACCCAGTCATGTTTGAAACAATGCCTGTTACGGTATAGTCATATTTAATATCAGGTTCTTAAAGTCAGATCTATTTAATGTTGAGATTTGACAGCTTTTTCCTTCCCTGAGCCTATACTTTATGGGAAACAGTAGATGGTGACTAAAAAACTAACATGATTTCTGTCTCATTGACGTTTGTTGGATGTTAATCTGGGGTTCCGAACACTGACCCTCATAGACTGTGCTGCAGCTTGTTGGGAGATGCTTGTAGTTCTTCTGCCATTGTTACCCATTATTACTTGGCAAGGACCTTCCCTGTCTTTCACCTCTAGTTAGACATAGTCTAGCCTTCCCAAATGCTGAGCTGACTCACAGCTGGGATTCACTCAGTCAAGCAAATATGTGAATTTAGTTTGAATTTGTAAAATGTAATTGGCTTTCAACCTCAATTAAGCTAGACTTCCAGACCTGGGAAGGAAGAATTGGTTTTATACATCACTAACCTTGTTCCTTTTTGGTAAACTGAGAAGTTACACAGATGGCATTTGCTCAGCCTGGTTGTCACCTTCCAGATAACCTCATGCCAGAGACCTCATCGTCCTTCTAGAACTTCTACTGATTGCTTGTATTTGGTCTTAAGTTTTTTTCTTTTCCCCTGGACATACATTTGAATATAGATTTGCCTATTTGAAAGCAATTGACAAGTTTTTTTATCTTCTTTAAAAAAAAAAAACCCTGCATACCTTGCAGTAGGGTTTGCCCATTTAACTTCTTATGAGCTTCATTTAAAATCAAGGTTGAAGCTGGACTTGTGGGTACGCACCTGTAGTCCCAGCTACTTGGGAGGCTGAAGCAGGAGGATTGCTTAAGCTCAGGAGTTCCAAGGTTGCAGTGAGCTATACTTGTGCCTGTGAATAGCCACTATACTCCAATCTGGGTAATGTAGTAAGACCCTGTGTCTTTAAAAAAAAAAAAAGACTTGGCTTTAGACAGGACTGCAAATTAAGGCTAACAACTTTTTATTACAAACTTATAAGATGACCATAATAGCCAGGCGTAGTATTTCCCAACAAGTTGATTCTTACACTCTGAACCAATACAAAGTGATTTCCAAGTGAAAAAAAGACTCAGAGTATATTAGCTTGCTACCTTTTGAGTAAGAAAGGGAAAATAAGAATATAAATACATATTTGATTTTTTTTCTCCCCAGACAAGCAACCTAAGAAGACTAAACCAGAAGCCAGTGAAAATGGGGAGGGAAGGAGAAACAGAGTCTCTGGGATAGGAATAGAAGTAAGACTTCTCCGGGGTTTCTTTTAAACTTTTGAGACCTGTAAGTGTTTTACATGTCAAAAATAAAATGAAATCGAAAGAGAAAAAAAGAAGCCTTTAAGTTGCTTATAAACACAAACAAATGAACCAGAAATCGATTACTGATTTCTGTTACCCAGAAAACAATACTTTAATATACGTCTTTTATGAAATATATTCTAAGGACAAAAAGAACTTCTTTGAAACACTTTACTCTGTAAGTTATGGTTAGTAATAACAATTAGTCTTGTCATTTTGAAATTATTTTGTATATTATTAAAAAATCAAGTAAAATATAGTTATTAGAACCCAAGATTTTCAATATAGGAGAAAAGAGATACAAATAAGAAAATCAAACTTTTTTTTAAGACAATATTAAATTTGAATTAGAAATACCAATATGAACTCATAAATAAAAAAGATTTCTTTTTCTACTGAAAGAACCTAGAAGCAGTGACATCTCTGATAGCAATTAGCACACCTTGTATCCAGATATTAGTTTCTAAATACCATTCCCCAGTAAGAGAGAGAAAGACTTCTTAGGGAGATCGCGGATTTCTTCTGGAGCAAAGAAAGAACAAGTGAGCCTGGTGTATCTTCTTTTGTCAAAAATCGAGGAAGCCCTTAAATGGGATCATGTCAAAAGGACAGAAGAGCCAGCTTGAAGGAGGCTCCCACTGGCCCAGTTTTGGACAATATGAAAACACTCAGTACACTTAATGTCTAATTAAGAGTAGCATGTTAAATAAATATATGAATGGCAACTGAAAAAGAAAAAGAAGAAAAGCTTTTCTTCTAAAAGAATGCCAGCTAATATATGTGGAAGGAGTGATTTTAAAAAACACAATTATGATTTTATAACCCCTCCAATAAAGTTGGTTCAGGCAAGGATTATTAACAGATGGTAAAGTAACAGGGAACAGGATATTAGTACATTGACAAGTTTCATCCCACAGATTAACCTGTACTTGCAAAAGAGAAAATGTACCTATCAAAGGAGAGATCAGATGGTCTCATTTTAACTAGGGTTCAGTCTTAGCATTGCTAATTGTGGAACAACCAGACGTTATGTGCCTTCTGATATGATACAAAGTGAGATATACTACATCATCTATGAAATATTCTTGTCAAAATTTTAACCTTGTCCTAATAAAACCTCAGAACTGCCGGGCT